ACCTCCCTGATCCTGGAGTTTGTGCCAAAGGAGCCCCGACCAAGTATTGAGTGGATAAATGAACATACTTTAAAGTATTTGAACTTTTCTTATTTGCAAATCCTTTTTTTGATTGATTTTAGGAAATATTCTAATATTTTGAGATACTGGATTTTTGACTTTCATGAGCTGTATGCTCTTTAAAAAACTTTTGAAATGTTTTACTTTACATGTAACGAATCTAGAATATATTAAAGTTCCACTTTTTGAAATGTTACAAAAAAAAATGAACTTTTTCAGAATATTCACATTTTTTTAAATGCACCTGTATATATACATACTGTAAATATATATTGATATAATATATATTGGTGTTACACCCCATACACTAACATTGGGGAAACAGAGTTTCTGCCTGACAGCTGACATCAGCTTTGTTTGTCTGGCCAGTAGTAGAGGGGGAAATGTTCAAGAAACCGGTTTGAAAAACATCATTTTTGCAAATTAACTTGGGACACAGAAACTAAACAATACAGCTACAATAATAGTATGATATGATAATTTCATAATAATATGACTAATATAATATGATACAATAATAAGCATTCAGAACTGTAATTAATAATGCATATAATACTGAAGAAATGAAGGTTTCAAATGAAGGACCGAGAGAGAGTCTGAGCTGTGGAATGTAGGTCAGAGCTTGTTAACAATTTCAGGGATTTAGTGTTTCAGCTGAAGTTTTCAAAGGAAAAACAAAAGCGTGGCAGGCTGGACATCGGCCAGTAGCTTTGGGTGGAAACGTCTGAGCTTTCCATGAGCGCTGGAACGCACACTTACACCGGATCATCTCACGAGAAGAGCAAGAAATGATATTCAGGCAAACGAGCTTCAACATGATCTGAACACTCAGCAAAAAGAAAAACGTTACGCTGGTTTATGTAGTTGTTTGCATGCTAAAGCATTGGCCTCCACATTAGTTGTTTAACAGACCTGTGTGCAAATTGACTTCAATTAGTCTTATTACAGGGAAAATCCTCTTTTGTAGGCCCTGCTTCCCTCGACTGTTCCCTTTTTTTTTCCCAATTGTTTTGGATTGAGGAAAATAAGTTTATGATTCATACACGTTTTGTTCATGATAATCAAATTAAATTGATAAATTAAAAACAGATACTTCCCATTTTAATAAGAAAGATTAGATTTATTTAGTACAAAAGTATTTTAGCATCTGATGGGGAAACACTCAAAAAAACATTGACATGATGCTACAATTATACTGTGAGATACTGTCAAATATATCCATACACCGCTCTGATGGATATATTTTTATTAATTGGTGTCTGTTTTAACAAAGCAGCATTGTAAACCTGCTCCTAATAACCTAGAATAACTATAAAGACGAAAGAGAAAGAATCGCAATGCTGTCGTACATTTTAACAACACGTCTGTCCATCAGAGCCCAGTGTGTAAGTTTATAGTTCGCAGGCTTCACTTCCAATAAACCCCTTCAGAGCAAACAATCAATCCACACACATACAATTTAAACAGTTATTGGTGCCAATCAAAGGGGGGGAGGGGGAATCGAGAACATTATTAATATAGTATTTTTGTAACCGTCTATCAGACTCCTGTGATTCATTTAAATAATTCACCCAAAAATGGGATTTCTGGCATTATTCACTCACAAACCCACGCTCATAACATTTGAAGTTTATCTTCAGAAAAAGACTAAGAATAGTCGAATGGTTTACATTATGGAAAACGATGTAAACGATGACCAAATGTTTATTTTTGGGTGAACTATCACTTTACCTTGCTAGAAAGAGGCTCAAACTACAGCACAGAAACTTATTTGGTGTCTGACTCCTGCAGCTAGCTACTCTAACAGAGTGAACTCGGTGGGAGGGGCTACTCGAGGCCCCGCCTCTCACAGCTTGGCTTTGCCCGGCTGCAGCTGCAGGTTTTGAAGCTTCATTGCCATGCCCATGTTTCCGGTGATCTTCAGTTTGCCCTGGAAGAACGCCTGCATGAACGAGAGAGCACAAGAGAGTGATTAACATTGACTTTTTAGAAAACTTAACCTCCTGAGAGGATAAGCTATTCATTTGTGTCCCAGAAATTTATTTGGGTCTTGGCAGAGGACATTTGTTTTTGTGAAGTATTTTTCTGTGACCTTACATGCCGCACTTTAGCTTCTCAAAAACCACATGCAGGGCTATTCAGAGACACTAAATGGGGGTTTGGCCATGAAAACATCCTCTGCCTGGTTTTTTAAAACAAATGAACAAAAACAGTGATTTTGTATTTAATTTTTGTATCTGATTGACATTCAGATTTAATCTCGTAGAAGCCTCTCAGAAAAATGACAGTTAATAAAGCAGAATATGATTGTCTTTTTTAATAAATACACTGAATTTTTTTTTTTTTTAAACACTTTGGACATCAGGAATAAGCATATAAAATAAAAATAAAAATAAACAAATAATCAAATGTTGTATTAATAATATAATATGGAATAGTTAGATTCATAAAAATTAGACAATATGTATGGTTTTACTGTATGTAGTAACATTGTGTAATGAGTAAGGAATTGAACATTATATAAAAAATTGGTTTATGTATGTTTAATGGAAGTTAACATTTATGTGAATAAGCTGAAAAACACAGCTAAGACAAAAAATAAATAAATCAACAAATAAATGCAATACTCTGTAAAATATTAAATATTTACATTAACAAAGATAGACTATGTATTATATATACTATATATAACACATTGTTTAAGTCACGAAGTAAATATTGTTTAAGCAAATGATTTTGTAATACCTTTCATAAACTAGTTCAATACTATGTGGAAAGTTTGGTTTATATATATTTAATTGAAGTTAACATTTATGTGAAGTTAACCTTAATGTTGACAAACAGCATACACTATGCATACACTAAATGAATGAATGAAGGAAGGAATGAATAATAAATAAATGAGTCTCATGCATCTCATGCAGAGGCATAGCACACGTGAATGTTATATCAATAAAAAAAAAAAAAAGAAATCTCAAAACCTTAGAAATAATTTATGATTTTCTGATGCAAGGAAAAACAATTCACAAAAAAACTCAAGGTACAACGAAGCTCAACAATTCGAGTAACCTTTATTAACTGTCAGGTGAATTATCTCATAAACTGCTCTCTAGTCACATACAAAGACGTGCCGTTACATGATCGTGCAAGATCAACAGCAGTCTTTAATGAGTGTTTTTTTGAAGGGTAGAAATGCTACTCGCAGAAGGGATGAACCCTGAAGTCATTTCAGTGAGTGACTCATTATAGCTTTGTTTGTAAGCGGTGCACAACCGCACGCCTCCATCCCTGCTAACAGTAAGCACTCAGGTAGCACTAAAACAGAGCCGCCAGCGAACGTGGTTAATGACTTCTCGTTTCAGTCTGTTCCCAAACATCGGTAATGAGCAATTTCAGAGTACAAAAATGAATTAAGGTCAGGTAAATATAGCCAGATTTCACGCTGATGGATGTTACTAAGAAGCGAGTGAGGAAACCACCTCACTACTCATCCCAGCTTGTGAAACTCACTTTTCCCACTCGCTTTATGAACAGATAGTTAAGAAAGGACAAGACATGACTCAGTGAGAGGAATCTGAATTCAATTACATTAAGATTTGAAGAATATTGATGTAGATGAGTTTGTTTCTTCATCAGATTTGGAGAAATGTAGCATTATATCACTTGCTCACCAATGGATCCTCTGCAGTGAATGGGTGCCGTCAGAATGAGAGTCCAAACATCTGATAAAAACATCACAATAATCCACACACTCCAGTCCATCAGTTAACATCTTGTGATGCCAAAAGTTGCATGTTTGAAAGAAACAAATCCATCACTTCTGGCCAAAATATAAGTCCATAATCCATAATAACGCTTCCTCTAGTAAAATGGTCCATCTCCTGTTGTCCTCTCGCATCGAAATCCACTGACATATTTGTTTAGAGCTGTTTTTGTGCTTGATCTGTGCATATTTCTCTCCTGATTCAGACAAGATGACTTTTTCACTGGAAAAGCAATATTGTGAATAGAGGACTCATATTTTAGCCAGAAGCAACCGTTTGAAGTTAAAAATGTCTTAATGATGAATTTGTTTCTTACAAACACACAGCTTTTGGCTTCTCAAGACATTAACTGATGGACTGGAGTGGTGTGGTGTGAATTATTGTGATGTTTTTATCAGCTGTTTGGACTCTCGTTCTGACGGCACCCATTCACTGCAGAGGACCCATTGGTGAGCAAGTGATGGAATGCTACATTTCTCCAAATCTGGCGAAGAAACAAACTCATCTACATCTCAGATGGCCTGAGGGTGAGTATATTTTAGCAAATTTTCATTTTTGTGTAAGCTATTCCTTGGCTTTGTGGTGGCGTAATATCACAATTTAACACTAGATCTAATAACTACTAAACAATAATGAATGCAAAGGTGGCTATCAGTCTTAAGAAAGAAAAACAAGTCAAATCCAAGAAGTCCTTGCTAGAAAAAGATAAATCGCTGAGATTTCAATAGGAAAATAATGGCACTTTCATGGTTATTTCGTTTTCGTTTTGATAAACCTGTATTTCCCAAAAATTTAATAAATCTTTTCCTTACAATAACCTAGTCTCAGGCTGTATGGTGTAAAAATCTGAACTAAAAAAAGAAACAAATGAAAAAAAACAAAAACAAACTAAACTTTCAGACCACATTTAAAATGTGTCTCCAGCTAAAAAAAAAGTTTTTTTGTACTTGGTTACTGAACCAGTTCAGGTTGGTCAGTTTAAACGCTCTCACTGGAGCTTGTTGATCAGTCAGGGGTCAAAAACATCTTTCGCTCCATCGTGGCTTTTCCATGAAGGGTGGTAAGGTGTGGAAATTTAAAGAAACTCTCTCTCTTCCAGATGGGAAGCCTCACGATGATCTCTCTTTCTCAATGTGGCCCATAAGCATTAGAAAAGGAAAGTGGGTGGGGAGAGAGTGTTTTTGAGCATCTGTGCAGAAACTGTTCATGGAAAACAGGAGGTGGATTGAGACAATGTACAAAAAGGCGGGTGGGAGCTACACGAACTGTGCTTTTAAGTGCTCAACCTTGATGTTCCTCTACAGAGAGACCTTGAAATAGAAAATGACTTTACATTTCCTTTATTCAATTGTGAATCACAGATTGATATAAAAAGGCACTATCTTAGCTAAAAACAATACCGCTTTGAATTCACCACCACATGCAGATCTTAATGCATCAAAAAAAAACTACGCAGGACAGTATAAAGGAAAGAAAAACATTTGGGTTCATGTGGGATGAGTCTCTGTGGTACGTCCAAACAGGAAAACTGAGACTAATCAGCCAAAATCATAATTATAACCATACAAACCACTTGGAAATGTCAGGGATCTGCTTTTTCAGACATTCTAGGGTTCCCACTTTTTTCAAAGTATTATTTTCCAGGACAATACTGTTTAAAAGTCAGCATGAAATAACATTTGCAACCCATTTTAATTGTATAATTTGACACTATTGTTCAAAAGTTTGGGGTAGATAATATTTTTTTATTATTATGAAAGAAGTCTCTTCTGCTCACCATGGCTGCATTTATTGGACTAACAAATTCAGTAAAATTGTGAAATATTATTACAATTCAAAATAACTTTTTTCTACGTGAATATACTGTATGTTACAATGTAATTTATTTCTGTGATGTTAAAGCTGAATTTTTATCATCATTAGTCCAGTCTTCAGTGTCACATGATCCTTCAGAAATCATTCTAATATGCTGAGTTGCTGCTCAAGAAAGATTTATTATTACGCTTAATAGGTATAAAAAGTCTTTACTGTCACTTTGATCAGCTTAATGCAAGCTTTCTGAATAAAAGTATGAATTTATTTAAAAACAAAAAAACCTTACTGACTCATGCTAGTGTACTTCCAAATGAAACGTTAAAAAAGAACATTAAATGTAATTAAATTAAAAACTCCTAAAACAAGCAAAATGAAATAAGCAAAACTGCACACAAGATATTAAAAGTAACTTTCAGAGAATATGCCTTGAATTAAGTTTATTTTACTTGATCCACTAGCAAGTTGTTTTCTTGTTTAAAAACTTTTTTTAAGACAATAATAGCTTGTTTTATATATGTTTTTATATTTTTAATGGGGGAAAAAAAGACTAAATCTGGTTGTATTCATTCTTTGCAGTCTAGCTTGTAACTGAATAGTAGTAAAGATAGTTCATATTATTCCACGGACGGACGGAGGGATTTTTGCTGATTTGTCTGTCTGCTTCATCAGCACTTACGGTCTGTGGATTCATCTTTCCAGTCATGAGGTCCAGCAGGTCCGAGTCGGCCATGGCAATGGTGCAGTCTGCTTTCTTTTCTGAGAAAGAAAAAGCCAAAACATTTATAAGGAATGGGATCCAGGCCGACACAGCAGCTCAAAACTCGTTGGTTTGGTGCGTTTAGCTCTTGTTACACAACGAATGAGAATCCGGCACGTGTGAGCAGCTTTGATTCTGGTCATTAGGCCACACACACACACACACTCTCTTGCTTGCTTTCAGTTCCTCTCATCCTCCACACAAATCTCCTGGACTCACACACACACACACACTCACCTGTGAATATCTGTGACGTCACACACCCACACATCATTAAAACAGATGAGGAAGGTGAGGAAAAACACAAGCGCTTGCACTACCGGAGCACTACTTCGTTCACAGCAAGACCTGCGTCACAGTAGCCTGCTCTCGATAATGGCTGCAGAAGGTGCGCGGGGAAGAAGAATTGTTGAATAAAGTCGTTATTTTTGTTTTCTTTGTGCACAAAAAGTATTCTCGTAGTTTCATAAAATTACGGTTGAACCACTAATGTCACCTGGACTATTTTAGCGATGTCCTTACTAGAGCCCGACCGATATATCGTTTAGCCGATATTATCGCCGATATGAGCCTGTCGCCGATATATCGGTATCGGCGAATATGCCGCCGATACTATTTTTTTTTTTTACAGAGCATATAATGCAGATAAAACGCTTGAAATGGTGTAATTACTTAGTTTGTCCAGCAGAGCGCGCTCCATTGTTTGCTACTGGCGACCTGGATGAAACGCTTTAAAGCTTAAGTCTATGGAAAACCATTGAAACTTTGAACGGCCATATCTCCGTAACGGCGCGGCGGATCCGCACCAAATATGGGGGATCCCTTCAGCTCGAGGAACCCTCTCGAATGTGAATCGAGTGTACGTCTCGAGGCCCTCTTTCGAATGAGACCACCCCCGCGTCGATAGCCCCTGGGGTAAATAAACTTCAACGGAATAAAGTTGAATGGAATTGAATTGAATTAAAGTTGAATAAACTTCAACTGTACTGTTCAGTGCACTGATGTCAGACTCATTTTGAATAAAGTTTATTGTTAAATTGTTAAATGCCATGCCTCCATCATTACATATCTTTGTCACGTCATTATAAGTGTTTGATCATCACATTTGACTGATCATTGCAAAAAATGTGTTTATGTATATATATTCTGTTTATGTATATACTGTACTCTATATATAGTACCAGTCAAATGTTTGGACACACGAATGGGAAAGTGTCCAAACTTTTGACTGGTACTGTACTATAATATACACAAAGAATATATCGATATCGGCCCTTTTTTTTACTCCCAAATATCGGTATCGGCCCCAAAAAACCCATATCGGTCGGGCTCTAGTCCTTACTTCGTTTCTGGGTCAGAAACATTTCAGTTGCATTGCTGTCTATGGGAGGATCAGAAAACTCGGATTTCATCAAAAATATCTTATTTGTGCTCCAAAGAAGAACGAAGGTCTTACTGGTTAGGAACGACTAATTCATGATGGAATTTTCATTTTTGGGTGAACTATCCCTTTAACAGTTCTTTTGAAATAACAGCTTTTGAAATGTTTTACAAAAATAGCGACTTTATTCAACGATTCTTCTCCTTCGCACACCATCTGCCACCATTATCGAGAGTACTGTGACGAAGGTCTTGCCGGTTCGGAACAGCATGAGGGTGAATAATTTATGACAGAATTTTCATTTTTGGGTGAACTATCCCTTTAATTACGTATAATTTGAATTGATTTAATAAAAGTTCTTAATTTAAAAGCTGTTATTTTAATAGCATTTCTAATTATGTATAATTTACATTTAATAGTCTTTAATTAACATTTTCAAAGTTATGTTAATAGAATTGTTAATTTTGTATAATTTGCATTCATTTAATACATTGTTTAGTCATTTAAAAGCTGTTATTTTAATAGTATTGTTCAATATGTATAATTTGCATAAATAATAAATATTAGAATATTTTAAAAGCTGTTTTAATAGTATTGTTAATTATGTGTAATTTGTATTAATTTAATACATTTTAATTGCAATATTTTCAATATATTTTAATTAAAATACTTCAAAAGTTTTTAAAAGAATTGTTTATTATGTATATTGGTATTCATGCAATATACTTAAGTAAGTTCAAAGCTGCTTTATTTTAATAGTATTGTTAATTATGCATAATTTGTATTTAATAGATTTTAATTAACATTTTTTTTAAATGTTGTAAATAATGTATAATTCGTATTCATTTGATATATTTTATTTGAAATATATTATTTAATTGTATTGTTAATTATGTATCATGTGTATTATGGATTACTGTATTTTGTTTACATTTTTTAAATAATTTAAAAAGCTGTTGATAATTTGTGTTGGAAATGAAGCCATTTTGGTAATTACGCATTCTTTGTATTAATTTAAAAAATTTTATTACTATTTTAATATTTTAAATGCTCTTGAAATTATAAATAATTTATTAAAAATCACATTTATATATTTGTTTGTTACTTCATTTCAGTTTGTTAATTGATTTACACTGTGTGTGTGTGTGTGTGTGTGTGTGTGTGTGTGTGCGTCAAAGCAGTAGTTGTTCTGATAACCATTTGCAGTTTTCAGAAACACACAGGAAAATGTCAAACTCTGGGGACAATAACAAGCCTTTCCTTCAACCCATGACCCCAAAAAACAATTTGTACAGCCTTTTGGACAGCTGGAAAATGTCATCTGTTCAGAGATCAATACTGTCTGCATCTAGAACAAACTCACCGGCATCATTGTGAACAGAGCCTTTTCCGTTCTTAACATCAACGATCCAGATGGCTTCCTTTCCTCCCGGCCCGTCTTTCACCTTGAAGGCAAACACACCTCCGATCTTCTTCACAAACTGCTCTCCATCCTGCAAACACACACACACGTCACAGAGTACATCAGTTGCACAACCGCCATAAACCCTGTGAACCGCAGCTAAAATTAAATGATGGTGAAAAGATAATTTTTGTTCTCCTCAAACAGAAATAAATGTGTAATGCGTTTTATTTATATATATATATATATATATATATATATATACACATATATACACACACACACACACACACACACACTCATATGTATACGTGTGTGTGTATATACACGTGTCTTATGTGCCCTCTGGCCTTTGGATGGAGATTTACTGCTGATCACAGAACCGTGCTTCACTGAAAGATACGCATGACAATTGCAGCTTCTGTCGAATCGCGATCTCGATTCCATTTCGATTTATCGTGCAGCCCTAATTAACATACTGGCTGTTTATTAGTAGGCCTATTTATAAAGCACATATTCTGCATGACCATATTCTACATCCCTAATCCTACCCAATACCTAAACTTAACAACTACCTTACTATTAATAAGCAGCAAATTAGTAGTTTATTGAGGCAAAAGTCGTAGTTAAAGGGTTAGTCCACCCAAAAATGAAAATTAGTTCATAAATTACTCATCCTCAAGTCATCCTAGGTGTATATGACTTTCTTCTTTCAGATTCATTCTTCTTTACAAATCCTCGTTTTGTACTTCTAATTCGTGACTGTTGTTTTGTTTTGATCTCTCCGTTGCGCTTCCGCGTTCGTCACTTCTGAGCGGCGCAAAGCCGACCTCATACATCATCCTCCCGGAGCTGCTTCCGTGTACAACAGTGAGCGCAAGCTAGATTAAATTGATTATTACGTTTTAAACGAATACGATTCGCTACAGGAGGACTTTGTTCACCCACCGGAGCCGTGTGAGACACTTTTTTTTAATGGATGGGTGCTTTTTATTTCACTTCTTTTGGACTGATGCATGCAACACCCGCTGAGTGCCAATAAACAGCTTGAAAGATCAAAGACAATATTTAATATAACGAAAGAAGAAAGTCATATACATCTAGGATGCCTTGGGGGTGAGTAATTTATGGGCTAATTTAAATTTTTGGGTGAACTAACCCTTTAATGGTTGGTTAATAGTGAGAACTGGACCTTAAAATAAAGTGTGACCGATTTAAATGTTCAATAACCACTAGGCCACATCTGAAAATTGGTTGAAGTCAACGAGAAAAGAAAAAAGTAGCATGAGACTTGATTTTAACCTTGGAAAGAGATGATAAAATGCAAACAAATAGCTAAAGTGCATACAAACAGCATACTATTTGTTGCACTTGCTTGCTTTAAATTCACACAAAGCAGAAGCGTAATAAACATCTGCAAAACAGCACTGAAATGCAGGCTATTAACATGAAACGCCATGCTCAACCTTTCTGCCTTTGCATTAAATTTCCCCGTAAAATTACACACTGCATTTCAGAGCGTAATGGAGCAAAACGGACTCTGGTTTTTCCCCAGAGTCCGTCTGGTTGTGTAACAGGCTGTTATTTGAGTCATTTTTTGGCAGAAGCTGAAATGTGGCTGATGGTGGGAGATTATCAGCGTCTCGGCCGTGTGGAGTTAAACTGGGCAAATCTCGAGAGGGTGCGAGTGTCACGGCTGAACAATAACAAACACAAATCATCGAACATAACCACGACCGAACTCGAATTCAAAGCTATAACCAGAGGCATGGATGAATAACTGAGGGTTAGTTCATGCAAACTTTACAACTGTTGTTCATTTACCGTCATGTCATCCCAAACCCTTCTGAAAGGATCCAACACAAAAGAAAACATCTTGCAAATATATTAATGGAGCTGATGCTTTCCATTCAATGCAAGTGGATGGCTATTTTTATATTAAGCTCCAGAAAGGACCAAAAAAAACATAAAAGTAGACAAAATGACTCATAATCCAAGTCTTCTGAAGTCATACACAAACATTGTATTTTTATTTTTATTTTTTCTCCACATTCACCAAATATGATGGTATTATCATTTTGTTTCATTCTACAAACTGGCCATAAACCATAAGAATAATTGCAATTGTTCTAATTTATTGACAGCATGATTTTTGAAGAAGAAAAATACAAATAATTTAATGACAAAATATTAAATATATTATTATTAATAATTATTATTTAAAAGTCAATTATTTAATTAATTTTAATGTCAAACAAAATGAAGCTGAAATGTCTTTAAAATACCACATAATAGTTTTCTCACATAGTATAAATTTGTTTTTATACAAGAAAATGCATAGCTGCTTTTACATTTTAGGAAAAACTCCTAATATATACTCATTTTATTGTGCCGATTATTTGCTTTTTTATAGCTCAATATATACCCACTTCCCACTATATGTTTTTGAAAATAGTCTCTTATATGTTCACCAAGACTGCATTTATTTGCTCGAAAGTACAGTAAGAACAGTAAACTGTGATATATTTTTAACAATTTAATAGAACTTTTCTATTGCGAATATATTGTGAAATGTAATTTATTTCGGTGATGCAAAGCTGAATTTTCAGCATCATTGCTCCAGTCTTCAGTGTCACATGATCCTTCAGAAATCATTCTAATATGCTGATTTGCAGCTCAAGAAACATTTCCTACTGTAATTATTGTTGAAAACAGTTTTATTTCTCAGACATTCAGCAAAAACGTCCCCTTTTATGTTGTAATGAAGAATGCAAACCTTATGAGTTTGGTACAAAACGAGGTGATCTATGAATGACAAGGCTAAGCGGGTAAAGACTCTGTCATGGCTCCATTTATAATAATAACCAGGTTATGAAAGAGCAGTTTGGGGAAGGGGATTGACACATATGTCACCAAACACCTTTAAAAGACTGTGGCACATGTGAAAAGGACCGTCCAGATAAGACAGAGCGATTTGGGTTTAATGAAAAGACGATCCTCTCAGCACCTAATAACTTTGTAGTCTGAATAAAACCCTTTCACACCAGCCAGCAGGGAAAAGCAGGGCTGAAGCCTGACAAGAAGATCACTGCTGACATGATTAAAGCTGGGTAATAACCATAGACTGTATAAAAACATGGACGTAGTGTCCGTGACGTCACCTGTAGGTTCCTGAAGAGCGTTTTTGAAGCTTAAAGTGGGCAGAGCTCGCCGTCGCCATCTTGGCAGCGCGTCACTCCCGGATAATCGAAAATGGGCAAAAAGGCGGGAGCTGGTTGCTGAAACCACGGCCACCTAGCTCGACGGTGGTGACAGCAGCGGCAATCCACCTGTCACTCAAGTGGCCACGCCCTTAATTATGCAGAACTTTAAGGCTTAATATAATTTAAACAGATTAATTATAAAAAAATTCACCCTCCTCACAGTTGTCATGAAGGGCAAAATTAGCTATAATACCAAAATAATTTTTTGAACCAGGCTGTAAACGTTTTTTTCTGCTGTAAAGTTGGGCATTTTAACATGGGGAGTCTATGGGATTGACTCCCTTTTGCAGCCAGCCTCTAGCGGCCAGTTGACGAATTACAGTTTAAGTCACTTCCGTGTTGGCTTCACGAGAGAGAGCCGGAGGTTGCCGCTTGGTAATAACACAGATTCACATTGATCTCAGTGTTGCCAGATTGGGCGGGTTACTGGTTTTGAATTTGATTGTGCGGGTAAAAATTGGCTTGGGCGGGTGGACAAAATTTGGGCAGTTTGGCAGTTTTCAAACATAAACCGTATAGGCTAATTGGTTACAAAAAAG